TTCTATGCAGATTCTCTGTGAGCGCAGTCGAACCCTGTTATCCAAAAAAAAAATAAAAAATAAAAAAAAATGGACTGGTTTTAACCCCAACCGGAATTCCAGTTGGACGACCTGGGTTGATCCGGCTCAGTTGCATCCGGGCCGGTCCAACTGGCAGGTTGCTGGCCCAACACTGCTATAAACCCAGTAGAAAGAACACCTCTGAACATTCACCTCCACAAAGCACCAAGAATTAACACGACAGTGAATAACAACTATCCTTGATCCCATCCCCCTACTGACATTCAAACACATCCTCCCCTTACGAGACTTGCACAGCCTAAAACACCACTGAAACCCAACCCCTAAACCTGGATAAAACCCTATCCCCCATCCCAAAACCACAGATGATACTATCCCTTAATTAACCGAAGCACATACCTCCGGAATCCTCAACAGGATTCCATCTTACACCACAGTCCTTGTAACAGATTCAAGCCAGCAGATATGCGGCGCATCACATGTGCACGAGTTGTGCACGTGCACGCATGCGCTCGCACGTGATGTGGCACAGGTACGAAAAATAGGGTTGATTAAAAAATTTGAAAAGGGCAGGCTGTGGTAGCCAAATGTGGCCCTCCCTTCTGAAAATTATAAGCGCACAGAAAAAAAATATAAAATCGGGGCCACATCGTTCTTCTCATTGCGCCCAGTCTCTTTTCCAAAGGGGCCCCAGCAGAGAATTAGAAAGGGGTCCCATTTCTTTGGAGAGATGTTCATCGGATTGCGAGTGGGCCACGAGCAGGCTAGCAATATACAATCTGGATTCGAATTCAGGTCTGTGTTCCAGCAGTTACGGGTTACGAACTTACTACTAATACTACAGTAGCTCCGTCTTCTTTTATTTTTCCTTTTCTTTCGTGTAGTGGCCATAAGGGCCTCGCTCCCTAGTCACCAGTTGCCCAAAGACAAAACATATGGCGGCGTATGGCTCCAGTTTCTAGCAGAAGATTCATTCTAGTTTTGCGAATTTGGTGAGTAGTGGAGTGAAGCTCTGAAAATCACATGCTGAGTTGGTAAGTTAGTAACCCATAACTGCTGAAACATGGACCTGAATCCGAAGCTATACCATATATAGTTGGCCTGCTACTGCCCTCCTGTAAGTCCATCGACTACCCCTTTGTTGGCGAGGAAACCCTTGCTAATTTTTGGCAGGGGCCTCTCGAAATACCGGCAGGGGTTTTCTGAATAATGTGAAAGGC